TGTGTCACCTGTGTCACCCCTGTGTGATCCCAACCCACCCCAACCCCGGCCGTGGCCAGCAAGAGGTACCTCACCAACAAGGTCAGTGTCACACCTGTGTCACCTCAGTGTCACCTGTGTCACCTGTGTGTGTCACCTGTGTGTGTCACCTGTGTGTCACCTGTGCCACCCCAATGTCACCCCTGTGTCACCCCTGTGTGAGCCCAGCCCCGGCCGTGGCCAGCAAGAGGTACCTCACCAACAAGGTCAGTGTCACCTCAGTGTCACCTCAGTGTCACCTGTGTGTCACCTGTCACACCTGTGTCACACCTGTGTCACCTGTGTGTCACCTGTCCGTCACCTCTGTGTGTCCCCTGTGTGACCCCCGTGTCACCCCAGCACCACCTCGGTGCCACCTGTGCCACCGCCACCCATGGCCCCTAGTGTCACCCCAATGTCCCCATTAATGTCCCAGATCCCCCAGTGTCCCCAGTGTCCCCAGTGTCCCTGTGTCCCCACGCTGTCCCCTGAGGTGTTCCCATGCTGTCCCCATGTCCCCACACTGTCCCCGTGTCCCGATGTCCCCATTGTGTCCCAGTGTCCCCACTGTCCCCAATCCCCCAATGTCCCCAATGTCCCCAATCCCCCCAATCCCCCCAATGCCCCCAGTGTCCCCTCAATGTCCCCATGTCCCCATGTCCCCATTGCTGCTCAGCACGCCCTGCAGGGACACACCTTTGTCCCCTGGGGACGTGTCCCTGTCCCCACCACAGCCATGCCCCTCCCACCCTGGCAGCGCCATCCGTCACCCCCTGTGCTTGTCCCCATCCCCTGGGGGACCCCGGGGACAGGGTGGGGACAAGCTGGGGACACCCCTGTCCCTCCGCAGGTGCTGGGGACCATCCTGGGCCTCGCCGTCGTCGCCATGGCCGCCGCCGCGCTGGGCTGGTGGCTGCGCCTCAAGAGTGAGTGCCACCCCCGGGCTGGCGCTGGGGACGGGGGCGACAGCGCCGTCCCCTCACACCGGCCCCTCACGCTGTCCCCTCCGTGTTCCCTCGGTGTCCCCAGAGGTCCCCGCGCAGGAGCCGCCGCGCTACCGCTTCCGCAAGCGGGACAAGGTCCTGTTCTACAGCCGCAAGATCATGCGTAAGGTGACCCTCGGGGTGGCAGCGGGGGTGGCCCCGGGCGGCCGCAGCGGGTGACACCGTCCGTGTCCCCCCGCCCTGCCAGGTGTCCCAGTCCACCTCGTCGCTGGTGGACGTCAGCACGGCCAGCGGCGCCGCGCGGCCCCGCAGCCGCAAGAAGCTCAAGGTGCTCAGCATCGCCAAGAAGTGAGCGGGCAGCGGGGCCGGGGTCCGGCTGTGGGGTCGGGATCTGTTTGTGGGGTTGGGTCTGATTGTGGGGTCGGGATCTGGCTGTGGGGTGGGGATCTGTCCCTGGGATCTGGTTGTGGAATTGAGATCTGTTTGTGGGGTCAGGATCTGTTTGTGGGGTTGGGATCTGTCCATGGGATCTGGCTGTGGGATTGGGATCTGGCTGTGGGGTTGGGATCTGTTCCCATGTCCCTGCTGTGTCCCCACGCTGTCCCCATGCTGTCCCCGCCATGTCCCCTTGCTGTCCCCGCCGTGTCCCACGCTGTCCCTGGCTGTCCCCTGGCTGTCCCCGCTGTGTCCCCATGCTGTTCCTGGCTGTCCCCACGTGTCCCCGCCGTGTCCCCTGGCTGTCCCCTCCGTGTCCCACGCTGTCCCCGCGGGGGT